TTTATTCTCAGCAACTACAGTTACCAAATAATTGCCCAGTTCCACTTTCAGACTGTCTCCTCTAGGGACAGCCCAGGCTTGGCTGCTGGACAGTCTCTCTGGCCTTAGCCAACTCAGAATGTAATAGCAAAACACTATAGACTGGTTTAAACAATAGGAAAGTGGGTTTTTTATTTTTTATTTTTTTTCAGTTATAGAGGCTGCATTTGGAGAACAGGACCCTCCCTGGCTTTTGGTGTCTCTTCTTTATGGTTTGCAGGTGGCCAGTCATCTTGCTATGTGCTCACAAGATCCCCCTTTTGACAGTGTACCTCAGGCTGGCCTTAAACTCACTATGTAGCACAGGCTAGCCTCGAAGTTATAATTCTCCTACCTCAGGCTTCTGGATGCTATAATTGCAGGTACACATCATCATCCCTCGATCAAGGTCCTATTCTTAAGGTTTCATTTAATGTTATTGGTTTCCTGAGAGGGCACCTCTCCAATCCACCTACACTGGGAATTAGATGAACAACATATGGATTTCAAGAGGACACAAGCATTCAGCCCACAAGAACCCACAGATAGAATCCATTTCCAAAAATTAAATTGTATCAATATTTACTGTGATAAAAGTACAACATATGTGCCTCTTGAAAATATTAGGTAGAACAAAAATAAAAATCATTCATTGTCCTACAAAGGCGAAACTCAACGAAATGAGAGCCTGCCCTCAGCTGTAGGTGGAAGAGCACTGCGTTTCTTCTGGCCTCGAGTCCGTACGTATGCCATGTTCACCTGCTTATCTCAGAACTCAGGGAAGGAGCTGCAGGGCCCCATGGCCAGCCACAGAGCCTTTGCCGTATTCAGCTCACGTGAGAGTAGACAGTCTACAATGGTGGTGCATGATGCAAGAAAAAAAAAAAAAAACCTGGAATGATGGCAACTGGCCAACACACAGACCTCGCGCCCCTGACTTGTGCTATTCCTCTGCCTTACTCCTTAGAACACCTTCATGTTCCACGCCCTGTCTCCTATCACATTAATCCAGATTAAATACGTCATTACACCCAGCTTGACAGATAGCAGGCACAGCGCAGTAGAAAACTGCAAGCATGTCAGTCAGCAGCGGAGCGTCTTAGTCAAGTGGGTACGGGAGAAGCCACGGTAAGCAGCTGCCTCAGCCAGGCCCGCAGCTGGATGCAGGGGAAGGAGCTCTCCTACGCCCCAGGCCGAGCCTCCTGCTTCTGAGAAGCTTGCCTAAGTCCAACTTCGTACTGCACCTCTCTAACCCGTGTAAGCATACTTAAACTCCATGTCCAGGAAGACTTTGATTGCATCAGGGTTTTGTTAGTTTTGTTTTTTAATGTTTTTCTGAAATATATTGAAAAAAACACCCACTTCCATTTTCAGGATTTTATTAAAATAAGATTCATTTGGAAAACTAAGCTTATTAGGATAACTGAAGGGCTGCAATGGCTCGGCAGGGAAAGGTGCTTGTCACCAAGCTGACAACCTTAGTTTCTTCTCTGCGAACCGCAGGCGGAGGGAGAAAACCAGTTCCTGCCAGTTGTCCTCTGACTCCCAGTGCTAAACAAGTAAATGAGTGTAATAAGATAACTTGAGAATGGCAGGCAGAGTTGCTAGCCAGAGAGATGCAGGTTAGAAAGTACCCAGTTCTCTAAACAGGAAGAGAGTCAGGGTTCTTGGGAATGATACAGATTTCTGGGATACATAGTAAGGGGCCCATCCACATGCATACTTGTACTGATGGGTTATTCAGTGGGTGGTTTGCGAGCATTTAGAAAAGAATGCCTCAGTCGCAAAGAATTGGCACAGACTCACAGAAAAGAAATCAGGCCCACTCTACGCATTTCTTTCCTGAATGGACTTAAGGATAGACCCACCGGGGTCAAAGACACTCCTGCTGCAGCCAGTCCTGACAAGGTCTCCTCCTGCCAGTTATCCGGAGGGCGGTACCAGGCTGAGTATTTACTCAAGTGCATCCTGACTGGCCAAAGGAACTTTGAAAATTTTTGCAAATACCTGAAGTAACCTGCAGTGGAGAGTCACAGGTCTGTGCTTGAACCCGTGTGCACAGTCATGGGGTAAATGGAAACTTAGAAGGCACGTTAGCACAGTTTAAACGGAACAAAGAAGGAACGGCCAGTGTTCCCCTTTGAGCTAAAGGAATGTCCCAGGCTTCTCAGACCAGCCTTCCTGCGACAATCCCACACGAGCAGGTAATGAAGGGCTGGTGCTGTGTGTCCCCATAGGGCGTGTGGGGCCAGCCGCCAGGGAGCTGTGGCAGGGAGGGGTCCGGCACCCCAACAGCAGTGCAGACTGCCCCACAGTTCACGGCAGTTCTGGGCTTCTTCCCAGAACAGCTGAAGACACCTTTTTGAAGAAATAAAGGCAGCAGGAATGCAAAGCCTGGGGCAGGAGAGATGGACCAGTGGTTAAGAGCACTGGCTGCTCTTCCAGGGGACCTGAATCTGGTTCCCAGCACCCACATGGAAGTTCACAACTGTCAGTAATTCCAGTCCCGGGGGCTCTGATGCTCTCTTCTGGCCTCCTCAGGCACCCATGGTGCATAGACATATATGTAGGCAAAACACCTACACAGATAATTTTTTAATACAGGGGAAAAATTTAAAAAGAAACAGAAAGCCTCAAGGAATGAAGGATCAATTGCACGCAGCTATGATTCTTAGGAAAAGACTTTATGGCTTTCATTGACCTGAACCTTGATATTTGTTTGTGGTGTGTGTCTTCTGCAAAAAAATCAATATAAGTCTGACCTTGCTACTGGCTTACAGGGTGCAGATCACAGAATGTGATTAATTTATTGTTTACCATATAGTGTCTGAAGTAGGATCGTGTTCTACCTATGGGTTGCTATTTGAGAGTGACTTTTTTTTTCCTCCCAGAGGAGCAATAAAAATAGAGAAAGGTGTAAAAACTATAAAATCAGATAGGTTTTTGTAACACATATTAGTAAGCTTCCCAACCCTATAACAAACCCTTGTAACCATCAGCTTAGAAAGAGGGAGGTTGTTATGGCGTGGCTTCACAGTTTTCACACAGGTTTCAGTATGTGGTTGGTTGGTTGGGTGTGTGGTGGCCCATTATGGGAGCACATGGCAGAGAAAAACCACTCACCTCGAGGCCAGATGTGAGAGAGAGAATGTGTAAAAGACTGGGGCCCATAGTCTCCTGGAGGAAACATTCCTAATAACCTGGAGACTTTCCAGTGGGCCATCCACCTAAGAGCTTAGTCAGACCCTAAGGGGACATTTATGATCCAAACTGTAGTAGAGCTAGATTTTGCCTCAATCTGATAGATAACATATCTCTGGCAGGTAGGTTCACATTTTATAATTTTTCTATTAAGAGTTGAAGAGCAAAAAGCATATATTACATACTTATTGAAATTTATCCATACATCCATACATCCATACATCCATCCATCCATCCATCCATCCATCCATCCATCTATCCATCCATCCACCTAACACATAATTATATATGCCAGGTTCTGTTGCAGGTTCCAGGGATTAAAACATGACAGACAAAAACCTCCCCTGACCTCACTCAGGCAGTACACATTCTAGCACCAAAATAATGAAAACCAGGTGTTGGGGGATGGTCCAGGGGGTAAGAGAGCATATTGCTCTTGTAGAGAGCCCCAGTTCAGTTGCCAGTATCTGTGTTGTATGGCTTACAATCACCTGTAGCAGCAGCTCCAGGATTCCTCAAGTCCTCCTCTGGTGGGTACCTGAAACAGTCCTCCCCCATGGACATACACACACAATCTTAAAAGAACAATGGGGCAGGTCAGAGGTTAAAAATACTTGTCACTCCTGCAGAGGACCTGGTTCTGTTCCAGCACCTCCGTGGTGGCTCATGACCCCCTGTAACTCCAGTTCCAGGAGATCTGCTGTGTTCTTCTGACCTCTGCAGGACCAGGCAGGCATGTGGTGCCCATACCTGAAGGCAAAAAACACTCATTACAGAAAATAAAATAAATCTGAAATTTTTAATTTAAATACATTTTAAGGTTTCTTAAAAATAATAATAGTGTAAACTAAACATCAGGCACCATCTCAAGGTGTGCTTTCCATAAATGCTCAAAAGAACCTACAACAGCATGCTGCCTCAGCCATGGTACTATTCTATTCTAGACTGTGGGATGGTTCAAATGATCCCCCTTGACAGTTCCAGCTTGGCCTTCCAAATGTACAGGAGAGGATAAAAGGCCATAAAGGATTCTACCCATCCAAGAGATGCTGCTGGAAGTCGAGGCGATGGGCAGCAACCCTGATCTAACCCTGTTGGCGCCAGCTGACAGCACATGGCTGTGCACAGCACTGCTCTCAAGACCTTTCTCTTGGCAATGGGAATTTTCCACGATAAAATATTTTAATATTAAGAACCCAGCAATTGCCTTGTGCGGGTCAAAAGCTACCCAGTCTTGGAAGGCGGCTGAAGCACAAGTGAAAACCCTCTCTCAGAAATACCATCAAGATAACTTCTGGCTTAATTAAGAAGTTGGAACAGATAACCCTCAGTCCCTCTGGACACTGGATTCTGTGTTCTGGTGGGAGATATGAAAACTTAATTGGAGCAAGCATGCATGGACTTGGGTTAGTTCCAGGGCCAGGACATATGGAGTGTGGCCTAGTTGCTCGCTAATGCTAACCACATGTCAGGAAGCAGAGTGCCGATCCGAAGTTCTGTCTAAACACTTAATGATCGTTTTCATAATTATTTCACCAGATTTACTTTTGATCCTTCCTTCTTCTGTCCTTCCACCACAGAAAGCTTATTTAAGCTTAAAATAGGTATTTATAGACACTGTATTCTACAGATATTGTGACTGCTTCCTTAATCTTAGCCTCGTGAAAACTACCTTTGAAATACAGTTTGTTTGCCCAGAAAGCACTGCGTATAACCTTGTCCATCATCTGCAGCCAATTTAGGCACGATGCCCTAATTACACCTCTGCTATCTATTATCAGATGACACCTCTCATCAGCCAAGCCTGTGAACTTCTCCTGGCTCACTTAAAAAGCTATGCAGCATCTAGAGGTGCATTCGACATCCAGAGGTAAGGCTGTTCCATTACAGGTGAGAAGTCACAGTTCTGAGTGGATGATTCTTGTGACTGTACATAATTTCTGGACAATTACCTTGGGAGTAGCAAAGAGAAAATGCCAGACATTCATCACAGCATGGATAGACTGACTAATGAGAAGAAACCCACCTAAAACCATGGAACAAAGTAACTTGGGCCGGTGATGCCGGCCTGTTGAGGGAAATTCAAGTATGCACTAGCTAGTTCCTGAATAGACTTGCCCTCTGACCTCCATGGGCATATGGACAAGCCATAGCAGGCAAGAAAGGCCAGGGCCTCTGGGGAAAGTCCCTAAATGTTCACATCAAGAAAAACTGTGAAGCCAGGTGTGGCACATGCCCCTCAAACCAGTACTTAGGAGGCAGGGGCAGGCAGATCTTCATGAGTTTGAAGGTAGCCTGGTCCATGTAGTGAGTTCCAGGCCAGGGCTGCACAGTGGGGCAGGGGAAGCTGCCAAAAAATAAAAAATAAAAAATAAAAAATGTTTTCTTGGCATGCACAAAGCCCTGGGATTAATTGGTGCCCATCACATTAGCAGCCGGGAGTAGATACTGGCCACATGGGAATTTGAGGCCTGCCTGGGATACCTGAGACCCTGTCTCAAGAAAATTAAAGATTAGAAAAAGACAATGTAGACAAGGCATATTATCTGACCTACTCAGGAAACTAAGGCAGGAAGGCCTGCCTGGGTTAAAGCTAGCTTAGGACCAGTCTGGGCAACTTCGTGAAACCCTCAAAATAAAAAGTTAAGGGGCTGGAAGAGATGGCTCAGCAGTTAAAAGTACTTGTTCTCTTTTAGAAGATGGGTTCAGTTCCCATCACCCATGTCAGGTGGTTCACATCTGTCTGTAACTCTGGTTCCAGGGCATCCAAAGCCACCTTCTGGCCTCGTGGGCACACAGGCATGTGGGGGTACATACACATACATTCAGGCAAACACTTCTACACATAACATAAACAACTAAGTCTCTAAAAGCTCTAGCTAAGTAAGTAAATAGATACATACATACATACATACATACATACATACACACATGCATGCACACATGTGGGTAATAGGCTGGGGACACAGTTCGATGGGCTAGAGTGCTTGTCTACCATATTCAAGGCCCTGGATTCAGTTTTCAGTTGAGCTAAGTGAATTAATTAGTAGTAGGCAATTTGTGCACGGCAGCCACGGTTTGGGTGGGCAGGAGGGTGGCGTGGTGGGCAGGAGAGGGTGGTGTAGGTATGGATAGGAGGCAAGTTAAGTGTCTGCCTGACTTTCCTCCCGGCAACGTTCAGATGCTTTATGCTAAATCACGGCTGGCAGCAGGCTGGGGAGAGAATGACTGTAATCAGCCACCGCTGACCCAGAATTATCACTGAGGATAAAATCCTCGCAGAGTCAACGCCAGCATTTGTGCTGTTCCCAACTGCCGACAAAGCTCCCCATGCCCACTCTCTCGGACTGTGCAGAAGGTGGAGGAAGATAAGGTGGACTCCTCTGCCATTAAAGCAAAACAAATAACCCTTCCGCCCCTGGACTCATCGAGTACTGGGGTCCGCTGAGACTGCATTCACTCATAGTTTTTGCTTCAGTCAGTAGGGAATCTATGACCGATGGTAGAAATGTTTTCAATAAAAGCCATCAAAATTTCAGAGTCATCAAGCCATGTCATTTATTCTCTAACGATAAGCTGGTAGCTGTAGAACTCGTGCAGAAGAACTAAATGTATCTGTATCAACAACAAGCTGAGGCATTATAATTACGGAAGAGTATTACTAGCCCAGTCAGTACTCTCCTTAAAAAGACCTTAGGAGGGCAATGCCTGTAAGAAAACCAAAAGAAGGATTCTAAGGACTGCTGAGGTGGCTCAGAGGTCAAAGGGAAGCCTGGAAAGCTGGCTGACCCACGTTTGATCCTCAAAAACCCACACAAAGGTGGAAGGAAAGAAATGACCTTCACATGTGATGCGCATTTTGGCACATGTGCACCATGGTCCCATCATGCGTGCACACACACACACACACACACACACACACACACACGCACACACACACACAGTGCATATACAAGAACAATAAATACGTAACAGTTTGTGAAATAACAGTGCTACTTTAAAATGGCCTTTGGGAGGGACAGGTTTGTTATCCTGAGGTTAAATTTTCTCATGCTATTGGAAGATCTTCCGTTTGTTTGGAAAAGGCAATGTGTATTTTCAGTAGTAAATTAAGTATATCCTGTAAGCCTGCCCCAAAGTTTGTCTGCTCTCCACCTGAGAAGAGCCCTTGTTTTTGTTTGGTCTGTTTGTTGCACTTTTTAAAAGCTGCAAAATCACCAGGTATAGTGGCACGTTCCTTTAGTCCCAGCAAGGAAAGGGAGAGGCTAGCCAGGGCTACATACATCTCAAAAAAACCAGACCAAAACAGCCTGCCAACTCATTAGAAGGAAAAGAGGAGGGGAGTTAATAAAATAAGCTAATTAGATTCACTCATCAATGCCAATTTGACGGATACCAGTTAATCATGAGATTCCGATGAGCTGTTCATACTTGGCTTTGGGGCTCCTGTTTCCCTCCACGGGAAGGCGCCCCTCCCCTAGAAGGTAGGCACCTTGGTGTTCAAGTCTGTTTTAAGGCCTGAGTCAGTGATGTCCTGCCCTCACCCTTCCTTCCTTAAGCTCTTTGTTCAAGTTTCCAATCGTATTCTGTGTTGCTGCTCACCCAGGAAGCTTCCCTCCCACTGGCTCACTCAGATCTGCAGGAAGGCCCTCTGTGGTGCTAAGACCAGACGTGTAGACCAGGAGGGGGGCCCCATGGGAAGATCAATCCAGCATCTTTTAAATTCTGGCATTTTATCTGCACAGGTGTTACTGCTGCTACACCACAGATATGGTGGCCAACATGGCCTTTGGCGTCCAGATGGACTCCGGAATGCTCCAGAAGATCCCTATGTACAACACTGCCGGCGTTTCTTTGCCTTCTGGCCTGGCTCCCCAGGCCTCTCCTGGCTTTACTCTGTAAGTGCAGCCCTCACCCAGGATTGTTTTGGCACAATCTGCACTGACCTGTCGCTAACAGAGATAACCCTGGACTCTCTCACATCAGGATCAGAAAACTGATGCATAGAAAGGCAAAGTCAAGACTGGAACCCAAAGTCTCTCATTTCCTAGGGTTTTTTGTTTGTTTGTTTGTTTGTTTGTTTGTTTGTTTTTGTTCCATAACTCAAAATCCTCTCCTGAGGACTTCTCTACCAGAAGCCTACAACTCCTTAACTAGAAATCACCAGATGGGTCACTGGAAGGAAAAAGGCTTAATATTAACAAGACTAGTCCATTGATTTTACAAGGAGTCTTTGCCTTCTGGCCAGTTCCAGTATCATCTTGTTTTTATGAAACACAAGTGTGTCTCTTTTTAAAACTCTACTTTATTTGAGGTACTCAGGCTTCTACCTCCCTTCCCACCAACCCCCAACCTTAAACAGGAGAGAGAAAAGGTTAGTGGGCAGAGGGGCCTCAGACCCCTTTGCTTCTCTCTGCTACTTAGGGTCACAGGTTCTTTTAGGGCCCTATCCCAATCTCCCTCAACAGCAGACACAGCTAGCAGTCTATTCCACACCGCTGCGCCCCAAAGCATTTCCCTCCATCTGTCTGCTCCAAACAGCCACACCATCTCTGGTCTCTGATCTCTCCAAACTGCTGTAGCCAACACCGAACTCCAGGATGACACCATATTTATTCTCTCAGAGTGCTAGACCATGTCCTTCTCCTTGCCGCACGTGGAAGGCCTTTACCACCTGGCAAAGACCACACCCTGAACATAACAATTAACAGGTGTGGACAATCTATAGCCCAACTGAAATGCCACACTTGGAGTTAAAACAAAAACATTTTTACGTAAGTTACAAAGAAACCAAAACTCCCATTACACAAGAGTGTAGCTCTTCCCTGCTCTCTGCCATGCTGGCATAGTCTAGCCACTTCTTGGCCAGCTTCATTCTTTCTTCTTCTTCTTCCTCCTCCTCCTCCTTTTCCTCCTCCTCCTCTCTCCTTCTTCCTCCCTTTCTTTATCTTCCTCTTCATCTTTGCTCTTTTCCTCCTCTCTTCTTTTCTCACACGGGCTCTTGTTTATTCAACTTTGCCTGATCTCCAATTAGCAATCCTCTTGCCTCACTCTCCTGAGTGTCGGAATTACAGACCTTTTGCCAGCTTTTCTCCTCATCTCTGAGCCAGTGTCAGCAGGAAACCCTGTCACCTCCGTCGTCATTACACCGCAACCTGGAGACATCCGGCCTCTCTCTTTGCGTCCAGGTCTGTTGAGGCTAGGCTGCCCCTCCCATGCACCTTCAACCATGACAGTCAGGGAGTTTTATTAACAAGGCCCCTGCTCTCCGTGATTTTAAACAGGCTGAGGGACGTGAGCGCTGGGTTCTACTGCCTCCAGCCTGGTCAACACAAAGGGCTGTGTGCAGCTTGGCAGGCTGAGAATCTGCGTAGAGTCATGTGCCCCTATAGCAAGGCCTCATCTGGGCCCAGCACCTCTCCTACGGAGTTATTAGCATCCTGATCCAGGGAACCTTGTCCTAAGGACCCAGGCTGCATGTTGCACGGCAGGAGACTATCCACAGTAGACAGAGCCAGTATCCTTGTCAGTAGCTACAGCAGCATGTATTAGGGACAATTCAGGTGGCTTCTGTGGGGACATTTATCCTGAGAAAGACAAATACAAATGACCAGAAAGTCAATAAATTTATGGACTTCTACGCCCTTGTGAAGGCTTGGCACACACCTATTCTGTCCTGATGAACTGCAAAGACACTCCCCCCTCTAAGACTGGAGTTAAAAATTTCTAAGTGTGAAATTGGATATGTAAGGCCAGGTGCATATAAGGACTCACTTTATTGTGCGGGCATTTGATGAGGGTTTACTTTGCTCGGGGTCTGGGATAGAGAGCAGAGCTAGAGACAAACCCTGCTCTGAGAAGCACTGAGTCCACAGGGAAGGCAGCCTCCCAACTGACTCTGATTCAGGCTGGCACTTGCTTCCTAATCACAGGAGTCTAATAGCCCTGGTTCATTATCACTCCCCATTCAATGCCACTTTTGTTTTTCTCTTTCAAGTGTCATTTCCATCCATAATGGTCCCATTGGCCCGGATTCTGCCCAATAAGAACCGAGATGAAGTGAATGGCTTTTTTAACAAACTCATTAGGAATGTGATTGCCTTACGGGACCAGCAAGCAGCAGAAGAGGTAACTATTTTAATAGGACACAGCCTGAAAACAGAATGGAGTCTAATTTGGCATCACTCTCTTTTCCTTCTTCACCCTCCCAACTCCTCACATCACATGGGCCTGTCCTTTCCAAGTCTCCCATTCTGAGCTTTCCAGAGCCAGCAGAAAGCAAAAGGAAGGAAGGAAGGAAGGAAGGGTGGAAGGGCAGTAGAAGTTCGTCCGTGCCTCTCCCGGTTGTGAGTTGTAGAATAAACGCCAATCCCTGAACTGTTTCACAACACCTCAATGTTGCCTCCAAGCACGGGTTGCAGTAGCCCTACCCACCCCCAAATTTTCGAAGTCAGCGCCTCCTGCAGTCTTTGTGAGCATAGTCTTTCTGCTGAAAAACAGGAGTGTGGGGGTTCAGAGCATGAGTAGCATAAAGATTAGCACGAAGTTTGGGCAATCAGTCCCATATTCCTTTGCAACACAGAGACTCTTGCCAGAAAGTTTGTGACTGAGGCTCCCTGCTCTTTTTAGCATGCATCTGTGTTTGCCTAGTCCCTTACACTCTTCTTGGTACATAGTAGGGATAAGTGAATATTGGTTGAACTTGACTCTGAGTAGAACGCAGTTTTCAGTATGAGAAGTAGTCTTTCAGCCTCAGAGATGCTTCTGTCCACATTAAAGCTGTCCATTAAGGGTCTCATTGCATTAAAGACAGTCACTAAGATGGAAAAAAAGTGGACTAAAAGGGCTTTCCCTTAACTGCCTTGAGCAAGATGGAGCATTAAAAGGGTTTTCTCAAAGACAGTGGCTCAAAGGGATTCATGAGGCCTGATGGTTAAGGCATTAACCTAGAATAAAATCCAAATCAATTAGTAGCTTGATGCACTTAGCAGCCTTGGGCAGCAGCCTGTCCTGCTCATCTGCACGCCCTGGGGACTGTGCAGCAACTGTCTGGAAAGGGAAGGTGTGGGGAAGTATACACAAGCTCTCAACCCCTTGGCCCATTCCACCATCAGCTCCACTTGGATGCCTTTAGAGGGGAGGGAAAAATAAGCCAACTGGTCTGCCTGGCCCCGCTCTGAGGCCAGAAAAGACAGGACAATCTCATTCAGGTATATGCTTCTATGCTGGGAGGAAGAAGCCTAAAGGACAAGAGGTAAAGAGCCATTTTCAATCCTAACCATTGCTGCAAAGGGCTGCCCTGTGAGAGCTATGCCCCTACACACACACACACACACACACACACACACACACACACACACACACACATACACATGCCCTAGCCAGAAATCCATTGGCTGTAGAACCAGGCTGAAAACTCAAAAACTGTTGCACTGAGTGACTAAGAGGTGAGAGGTTATTAAAGAGCCAATTACTGGGATCGCCTCAAGCTTTTCCTTCTATAAACTTTACAGCTATTTGTTTCAAACAATGAGTTGATCTGAGAAAAACCTTCCAACCACAAATCCAGGGTTGCCTGTGTTAAGACAGAGCTATACAGTTACTAAGAAAACTCACTTAGAACCCTTCTGAACTCTGTATACATTCCATCAAACAGATGTGTGTTTGCACAGTGAAAATGCCGCACAGATGTTAAAAGGTAAATATTTTTCTAAGCTCAAGCCTATGGGTGGATTAGACACCTACATCTATCAGGGCATGTATTTTTCTTGGATACGACCATAAACCAGGCCTGCTTCCATCCTAAATGGGCAGCTTCACATGGCCTTCATGGTGCTCTGTGAACGAAAGGGTCCCCTCTCCACTAATGCTCCTCTCTAGCTCATGAGCCCCAGAGAGAGGCCCTTTCCCCTGGCCTCATTAGCTGGCAGTTAAGACATATTTCTGCAAGATTTCACCAGCCCTTTTAGCAGCCTGGCTGGGCTGGGATAAGAGGAAAGAATGCCAGCCACCATGCTGCTTCTGGAAAAATATGCAGTGTGGATATGGCTATGAGCTGCCTTAGTCATCACCCCTACTCCACCCAAGAGAAGCTGCAGCCAAGCTTCAGGGACTCAACTGTGTCATGCAGCCTAAGAGCGCACTTCGCTTCTCCAGTCACATCCAGACCCCCAGAGAGCGCCACGCGTCCTCTTTCCCCTGGGCCATCTTATTCTGCGCACTGTGACATGTCAGCAGTGGAACCACAACAGCCACCCAGATGGTGACCAATAACAGTTAGGAATAGCTGACCAATAGCATTTGGGCAGCAAAATGAGCAGGGTCAGGGCACAGTGAGGAAGCCCAGGCTTCCTTAAGTAGGAGCAGGCTGGTGGGGGATGGAGACCTTGTCTCCTCGGCCTCAGTGTATGTGAGCCCTTAATGGTGAGCCACCACTGTTCCTGCCCTGCCCCCACTGTCACAGCAGACACCTTTGATGGTCATCAACAAAGGCTTCCACCCCAAACAACAGTTGAACTGTTGAAACCAAACCTGGAGGCACCCATCCCCAAGGGCATGTGCCGCTTTTCGTTCTGATTTGTAACAGCTTCGGTTGCACAGTTTAATATGCACTCAGCTCAGCCCTTGGCACAGGTGGGAGAAAGGGGCGGGCTGCACCCTGGGGCTGCTTTTCATCTCATGAAGCAGAAAAAGTAGCCACACATGAAATGCCAACAAACTTAAAGGGTGGAATTACATGCTGATGTGAGGGCCATAGATTATTCATGCAACAGAAATTCAGAAGCCAATGAATTGAGAAAACACCACAACTAGAAAAGTATTTTGAAATTATAATATTTTCCTGTTGGAGATTCTAATACTTTCTACTTGCTGTTTTAAGCCTATAAACTTCAGAAAAGAGCAACTTCCTGGTTGTCATTCATCACATTAAAGGGCATTTCAAAGAAAGGATATGCTGGGAATACACATTGTGAATGCCAAAGCAGTGAATAAACACTCCTATAGTTAGAATTAGTGGTAGTCAAAATGTAAAGGATATGCAAATTACTGATAAGGAACATAGGGGAAATGATAAGAAGGTTTTAACCACTCAAAGGAGACTGGGGATTACTGGAGAGAAAAAAAAAAAAAAAAAGGACTGACTCCATAGGCGGCAGGCTGCCTATGTCGGGGGTTTTGAAGACAGGCTTCACTCAAGCCAGCTCCCCCATATTCCATGCCCCCATCCCATCCTGTCGACTGTCTACTGCATGAGAAACTTATAGCCACCCACTGTGTCCTTGCAGAGTAAACAATAGACATGTGCTCTGATTTAAATCTAGCAGGTGTTTTCTCATTGGAAATTTAGCCAATAGAACAAACACATAGAAAATGTTAATCAGAACTGAAAACCTTGGTTTTCCCTCTTCCTCACGTGGCTCTGGAAATCCGCTGAATACAAGTGTGACCAATGTTTACTACACACGAACGGATGCACACGGTTCTCTAGACTGCACACTTCCTGCTTTTAAAGAATGAGATCCCATTGTTTCTGCTGTGGCTACTGCCCTAAAACTTGCTTTATTTTAAGCACTTTTTTTTTTTTTTTTTTTGGTGGGATTAGGGAGATCAGCCTGGATTGAATGGCCTTATCCAGAGTATGGTTCATAAACACAATAGAATATTATTTGACCCCATAAAAGAATGGGACATGTTAATTTTCAGCGACATGGATAGAAACTGGAGGACATTATATTAAGTGCAATAAGGCAGGAACAGAAGACAAACATAGCATGCTTGCAGGGTATGTGGAAGCTGAAAATCTGATCTCAGAAACAAAAAAAAATGGTAGTCACTGGAGGCTGGGAGGATGAGGGATAAAGGAAAGGAAAGGTTGGGTATCCAAACCATGAAGGGTAAGAGGACTAAGTTCTGGTGTTCTCCAGCTCAGCAGGGTGACAATGGTCACAGCTAGATGTGACTATTCTGTAAACAGCTACAAAAGGAGAGTTTGAGGATTCCAGACACACACACACACACACACACACACACTCACACACACACACACACACACACACACACGACGGAAATGGAAGGACTCTGCTGTCACTATCACACATTACACATATTAAATTACCCCACTGTTGCCCCATCAGCCTACACAATGGCAGAGAAGAGGGCAACCTCATCTTTTCGCTGGAGCATCAGTCTGCCCTCGCTGCTGTCCTGATCATCACTCAGGCAGCCACCAGGCTCTCATGAACTCAGATAACCCAGTGACAAGGACCTGCTCCTACTGAGCTGTTGAGAAGCTCTACAGCAGGAGCTCCCTCCCTTGTCCTCTAGCCAGCCTCCTTCTGTGGCTCTAATGTGCCTTTTCCTCTCTTGTCCTCAGAGGCGAAGAGACTTCCTGCAGATGGTGCTGGATGCCCAGCACAGCATGAGCTCGGAGGGCGTGGAAAGCTTTGACATGGTCACAGAAGCCCTGTCCTCTACCGAGCGCACAGAAGACCCACCCCAAAGGAACCATCCTACATCTGTGTCTAAGCCTTTAACAGTGGAGAAAATTGTGGGCCAGGCCTTCCTTTTCCTCACTGCTGGCCACGAGATCATAACGAACATGCTCTCCTTCATCACATACCTGCTGGCTACCCACCCTGACTGCCAGGAGAGGCTCCTGGAAGAGGTGGACCTCTTCATGGAGAAGCAGGTGAGTACATTGGGGTCTTGGCACCCAGGTGCAAACCTGGCAGGCTCCCAGCCCTGCTGCTGGCCAGAGACTACAACAGTTGAGAACTGACTGTGCACTCCTTATGTGGCCCTGAAGGGTCTCATTTGGAAGGGACATTGCTTAATAGACTATGGGCCACTAACCCCTCAGAGTAAAGGTAATGACTCCACCTCTTGAAGCATTTGCACCTTCCCCTAGCCTCTGTCGTATGTACCATATCACAAGGCACCCTTCAGATACTTCTATGGCCACTTCTTCATTTGTCTTGCCTTTTGTCTTGAGACTAAGGGCTAGCCTTTCCTCTACTACCTTCCTCAGAAGGGCATCTTCCCCCGCTTTTAGCCTTGGGACTTCGGCACACTCGAACTTGGGGCTGGAATCAATTTGCATATTGGTGATCCCATGCCCTGACCACAATAATTGGCTCATGGCTGGACAGTGTCAGTGGCATTCTGGTCAGAGTGACCTTTGTGACTTTCACTGGGAATTTTCAGTCATAGGTCCTATTTGGTGGTGCAGACCGAGGAAGCATGTGGTCCCAGGCACTCTGGGTAGGCTGCCCGTGGCTTCCCAAGGACAGTGTGGCTAACCATGGGGCCAACGGCAAAAAACTGAGGTCAGAGAAATTCGTGCCTGAGGGTATCGTTGAGGCTTTGCTAAATATTTTCCTGAAGTCTCATTCACTCTCTAATAAAGCAAGGTTTTGGACCCATAAATATAAATGTTTGTTTTGCTAAAATCAGTTTGACTCAGAGTTTTGTTACCTGGTGCTAAATATGTCCTAAAAGACATACTGGAATGTACCCCACCATCTTTGATCCCCGCCCCCACTCCTCAGCTGGAACCAAATATTAAATAACTACCTATAAAGCAGACTGAGCCAAGTGGTAGGGTTATCTGGATTCATGGCTTGTTGAGACTCTATGCTTGAAGAATATTGATTAGTGGATCAGTGTCAGTCCAGAGGAAATCCTGTCTGTCCTGTTCAACATTTTAATCAATGACTTGGACAAAATGTGAGACATGGTTAGCAAGTCTCAGATGACACAAGCTGGAGGAAATGCTAATATGACAGATGGCAGAATCAAGATTCAAAATTATTTTGACTGTGTGGAAAGGTAATAAGGAGAAATATAAATTTTTGCACCCAGGCTCAAAAGATCAATCTGGAGAAGCAGGAGGCTGGGAAGACCCAGCTTGGTGGCTGTCATAATATCAAAGAAGTTGAAGTTGAAGCCACACGGGCTCACATGGAGTCAAACACTGGGGCAACTAGTAGTAGCTATTCAGGTTTCAAATATTTATAAAGTGACTTAGAAAAGAAAGGCTAACTTTGCCTCCACTTCCCCAGCAGGACAAAAAGTAAAATTTTCTAGGAAGTAGTTTCTAGTTTCAAATGACAAATTACACATGCACACATGTATATATGTATATTTGTACATGTGTGTGTATATATATACATATATATATATATATTTAACCCTAATGCTTCCAATAGCAGAATAAGCCACATTCCAAAATTGTGACTGTTGAGTAATGATATCAGAATGTAATGGACAAGATTCCATTATGGATATTTTCTTATTTAAAGTTCAGACTTTTAAGGTGATTCAAGGCAATACACATAGAAGCATCTTGAGGAAGCCACAGGGAGAGAGAGCACAGTGCAGCTCAAGGAAGGCTGCTGCTACAGGTGCTCTAGCTCCGAGGAATCCCCAGAATTCCTTTGTGCTTGGAGCTCCAGGCCCGTTCTGCCTTCCTGTTCGTGTGATTGGGGCTCTTCCTCTGCTTTCTCCTTCCTGCTTTAATTGGTGTCCTGTGTCCATTCCTGCCTTCAGACTCAGCCCCCTTTGCTGACTCCTCTCTCCTATCTTCCTCAGGGAGGCTTCCCCTCAGTCAGAACAGGTGATAGCCAGACTTCTTCTTTATGGCTGCCCTTTGATCCTCAATACCTCCCTGGGCCTTTACGGGTCCCCAGAGCCAGTTTTACGGGCTTTTTATTTCCCTCTGTCATTCTGAACACCCATTTTACTTGCTAGCCCAGGAGAAGAAGAAGGTGGGTGTGCCCTCATTTTTTCTTACTTAGAATGTGATTTTAGAAGTTATTAAGTAGGAGTTAAGTATTAAGTATTAATACTTAAGTTATTAAGTATCTGAAGGGTGCCTTGTGATATGGTACATACGACAGAGGCTAGGGGAAGGTGCAAATGCTTCAAGAGGTGGAGTCATTACCTTTACTCTGAGGGGTTAGTGGCCCATAGTCTATTAAGCAATGTCCCTTCCAAATGAGACCCTTCAGGGCCACATAAGGAGTGCACAGTCAGTTCTCAACTGTTGTAGTCTCTGGCCAGCAGCAGGGCTGGGAGCCTGCCAGGTTTGCCAGTTTCACCCCTGTTAGATCTGGGTGTGAAGCTGTGGGCATAGAATGTTCCCACACAAAAGCTGGGGATACGCCCCCGCCTCTGCCACGGCCTGGACCGGACCTGAACTCAAGGAAGGTGATGCCGACTCACCAACCCTCAAACCTCACCAAGCCTCCTTCAACCTCTAAGCCTAGAACCAGGCCTTCTTTTCCCAAAGGACCACCTCCCATGGGGCTGTCTCCAGAAACTGAGGAGACCCATGGCCACACAAACTGATTATACCAGATACAAATTTTCAACCCTCTGAGAAGATGGCTGGAATGGAGATTCCAGGGCCCTGACCATAGAAGTTCTGCTTTTGTAACTGGGGGAGGGAAGCTGTAGTTCTGATCAATAATCCCTGAAGTTCTGATGCAGTTGGTCTTTGGTTCATTTTGAAAATATAGCATTAGACAATTGGAAACCAGAACTCTCTCCCTAAGAAAGAATGCTCTACTCTACACATGCAAGCCCCGAGGGCTTTTTCTTTTTTTTTCTTTTCTTTTTTTTTTTTTTTGCACAATATTTGGGGTAGTTTTTGACAAATGGGAATGTGTCCAGGTTGTCTTTTTAAACACAGATAGTCAGAGAGCACACTACTTTGCGCAGCCTCGCCCATGGCATGCACTCAATGAATACTTGTAGGTTTTCTTCTTTTTATTTTCTCTCGTTCTTCTTTTATTTATTTATTTAGTTTTACTATACTCAGAACTCTGTTAATATGGGCCATCTGTCAGGACATGGAAATGCAGATTAGCTGTTCACACATTAAGTATTTTCCTGAAAATATTCCCAAAAATTTGCATTTAAAGTATGATTTGTTATAACTTTCCTGCTGGTTTCCATTCAACAAATATCTCTTGAGTGCCAGTTAATGCCAGCTTTGGTGGCTGCAGGTTCTTCCTCTGCACACGGTGCTAGCCTACCTCTAGAGAGTGGGCCTCCTTAAATGACCTGCCATGCAAGTGGCTAGGTTCTGGCTCTAGTTCCTTCCTTTCACCATCTCTCCTTCAGTAATACCCTTTGGGAATGTGATGAGAGCTATTACCCTCCTCTATAACTCAAAAATAAAAAAAAAATCTGTGTCCCATGGGACTGCTATGGGCAGTGGTAGAAAATGTCACCCAGTAGGCCGGCAGGAAGGTTCAGCTATTAGGGCAACTCCTGCCAAGCTCAATCTCCTTCACCAACCCATACTACAGAATGAGGAAAACAGCTTTCACACTATTACCTGGCCTCCCTACTCTAGTGGTGGTGCCTCCCCCTCAGCACACAAAATAAACAACAACAGCAACAAACAATTCACCCAGGCAGACTCCAGGGCATGGCAAACTCCAGAGGTTGGCTCCCATGGGGAATGATTGATGGAGGAGTGCCAACCTGTGCCCAGTTGCTCTCTCTGTCTCTTGGCTTCAGTAGCTCTGGGCACACTTGTCACTCCCAGTCTTTCCTATTGCTTCAGGATAGCTGTGTCACCTGGATTTTGAACAGTGTGAACTAAATAAGGTACATGAAACAGTTTTGTGCTTTCATTTGTTATTACTTTAAATGTCCTCTTCTGTTTTTCCTCATGTGTGTGTTGTGTGTGCATGCATACATGTATGTTCACATGCATGTGAGGGCCCAAGGTTGGCTTTGGTAGTTCCCCTCCATTGCTCCTCATCTTCTCCACTGAGGCTGTGTCTCAGCTGAACCCAGTTTCTGTATGGCTAGTCTGTCTAGCCAGTTTGCTTTGAGGATTCCCCATCCCTACCTTCTGAGTGCTGCCATTATAGGTAAGCTGCCAGACCCACTCAGGATTTCATGGGTTCTCGAATCTGGGCTTTGATCCTCATCACCCTGAAATAAGCTGCCACACCTTGCTTACACATAGGTGTTAGGGATTCCGTACACAGCGGGCACTCTACCAAACGAGCTGTCTCCCCAGGCCCTGCCTGAGAATTTCGGTAGGACTCCCGCCTTGACTTGAAACTATGAGGTGGTAAGGTTCCCTTCTCTGGTCTGATGACTCTTGACCCAGTGAGCTAGCATTAAATCCCTCTAGCACTGAGCTTCAGCTCCAGCAGTTACCTCTGGCCGCCATATTAGGAAGATGGAGCAGTGGAAAGCAAGCAAGTCCAGCATGGAGAGGAATGGCTCTCTTTCTGAAATTCACACACACAAGTCTCACTTCTCAGGAACACACACCTCAGCCAACCACTTGCTACGAGAACCCAAGGTCCTGATTGCTTAGGCCTGAGCCACTTGTCCATCTCTGCCTTTAAAGAAGGTGGGCCTCACCCCTTTCTCTTACTCTTTCGGAAGGTAGAAGGGTAGATCCCTTAAGACGCTGTTACTAGAAGTGGGGTAAATGACTTCTGGGTAGCCAAAAACAGCGTGTCTAGCTTTGGGCATAGAATCCATGCTTCCCAAAATATTAGTTCCTACTTTCCAATTTTCTTTTAGGAGGAGACAATGTTTCCCTCCCCTCAGAATTTTTCACACCAGCTCTCTGGAATCAAGACTGTTGAATCCGACAGCGCCCAGAATGCCTGGCCCATGCGTATTTCTTATAAAGGATGTGGCTGCTTCCTGTGG